TGGAAGGAAGGAAGGAAGGAAGGAAGGAAGGAAGAAAGAAAGAAAGAAAGAAAGAAAGAAAGAAAGAAAGAAAGAAAGAAAGAAAGAAAGAAAGAAAACAGAGAAAGTAACAAAGGAAGAGAGAGGGAGAGGGAAGGGAGAGGAGGGGAGGGGAGAGAAGAGAGCGGGAAGGGAGAGGAAGTGAGGGGGAAATGGGAGGAGGCGGCTCACCCAATCGTAGACAGCACAGTGAGATACTGGTTGATCTGGAGCATGGCTGCATCCAGGAGTGTGTGGATGTTCTGCAGGCACTGCAGCCGGGCCTCCAAGTGTTGCCGTTCGTGGCCTTCCATGGCCCGCAGCTCCTCTTCCGTCAGCCCCGCAAACCCCGAGGGGGGAACGGGCATCGGAGGGAAGCCTAAAGCAGCGAGGGCGGGAGGGGAGACATGGGAGAAGAGGACTCGCCCCCCCAACCCCACCCCCAAAAAAGAACCGGCCCCTCCCTCCCCAGGAGGGCAGCGAAAACCGGGCGATCGTTTTAGCCGCCACCGTCATAAATCAGCGGGAAAACGATCGCCCCCGGGTGGGAAGCCACGCCCAGGCACTCTGGAACGTACCAAAGAGAGGGGGGAACGGCATCCCCATCCAAGGGGGAGGGAAGGGGAAACCCGGCACGGTCCCTGCGGAGGTGGCGGTGTCCGACGTGCTGGCCGAATCCCCCGTGGGCCTAGCGGTGCCTGTCGAGGAGGAAACGCAGCCCCCGTTAAGACCCCCCCTTGGGTGGCTCACCGGTGGAACAGCCAACTGTGGGGGGGGGGGTGTTTCTCACCTGACCCTTGGGATCCTGGCGGGGGCCCCGCGGAGGCACTGTCGGCGTTGTTGGGGGGCTGGACGCCCGGCACCGGAGGGAAGGGAGCCATGGGGGGCCACAGAGGGAACATCCCGGGAGGAAACGGAGGCAGGAGGCCTTGAGGGACTGCAGAGAAGGAGGGCATCAGCGCGGCTTCCTGAGACAGGGCTGGGCAAACAATGGCCCTTTTGTGACTTGTGGACTTCAGCTCCCAGAATTCCTCAGCCAGCCTGTGCAAGCCGACTCAGGGATTCTGGGAGCTGAAGTCCACAAGT